ACTGTGAAGAGCAATGGCGACAACGGACCCCCCTGCGGGACAACTCTCGTGACCGCTGCTACATTCGACCTGACGGAGTTCCCGCATCTCAGAGTCTGTGTCCTCCCCTGGAGGTATGACTCGAGGACCCTCGGAGCGGGCCCATTGACACCCGTCCGTCTCGAATCGTTTAAGAGCCTCTGCAGGTGCAAGCAATTGAATTCAGATGTGTAGTCCAACATAATCGCCACCGGTGATCGAGAGATCCAGTACAGGTACGAGCACGCGTGGTGCTCGACACACGAGTCCTGAGTAGATAAGTCCTGGTACGAGCTTTGATACAATGAAAGATTCCTTCTCCTCGGAGGACCCCATTTTTAATTCTATCCCAGATCAAGCTAAACCTCTCATAATTTGCGGCGACTTCAACTATGACGTTAAAACGCGCAACTCCGACTTGGAACACCTCATGAAACTTTAATCTCGATTTGATCTCGGATAAAGCCATTTCAACAACGCGTCACAATACGTGCATTGATTTAACGTTCGTTAGGGGAATCAACAAACACGAAACTTGAATGAATCAAACCTGTTTCAGTTATCACTACCCAAACCTCTGCATACATGAATACATAAAAACCCCTGACGCAGTCCTAGGCGTCTCCTTCTCCAGTCAGAACTGAACAGGCAGGGCACCTGCAATTTTTTTTCTTCTTGTTTCTCAGGTCAAAATTTGGCTGTCGTCTTCTTTTTCTTCGGTTAAGTACTTCCTCCGACGTGAGACGTGCGTCGGGAGTGTTTACCAGAAGAGAGCCGTCCCTGACTAGCCGATCCTCGAACTCCATCAACTCCTTAACCGAATGTATGTTGACTCTTGATGAATCCCGATCCTTGGTTTTGACTTGCTCCGATGTCTGGTTGCTCGTCATAGCTCCACAGTGAGCCCAGTTCGATTCACGTCTAATCATTGCCGCCGTCTTGAGGAGCTCATTCAGAAACGTGCTCAGGTGATACCTCACGTTAACAGTCCGCGATTCGCCAAGTCCGAAGTTGTTAGTGACAGATCTTTGGCTTTCCTCGTTTGGTAGAAGACCTCCTGTGCGTGGGTTTTAGTTTCGAACGAAGCGATGATGGGGCTGTCTTATCTTTGGCTTAATCTATGCGCAAGAAGCAATTTGTTGCGGACGCCGCTTTTCTTTTACTCCGAGTGCCCACGCGGGGAGGCTCGGTGGGACTCACTCATGTAGCACGTGTACCCTCGAGCTCATTCGTACACTAGAGCAATCGCTTTCTCTGATAAACGAGCTGGATTCCGGTTACATGAAGCGGAGGGATCATCGGGGAAATACTCTCAATGAGACCAGAAGGGAAACGAGCTCTCCGTTCGGCAAGCGAAAGTTACAGGGAGTGTAACTGGCCGACTCCAGCTCGAGGCATTTTATCACAAAGCGGAATCCCGGGGGTTGGGAAGAGAAGGTGATGTGAAATACTCGATGAACCTTTCGCGAGAACAATTCATCGGTCCATCAGATTACGAATCGCTGTGGGGGCGACGGCATTTCTGAGTGCGATGACTATTATCGATCAGAAGCCTTGACCCATCGCAAAATTTTTCTCCACCCGACATCGGAATAGGGTTAAGCCTGACCAACTACATACAACGTATATTGTGAATCTGCCTTTAAACTTCCTTCCTGGATCCAAAGACGATCGCAAGGATGAAATCAATATATGATGAATATCTTTCAATGGATATGATCGTACGATCATCGTGGGGATCAAAGCTCATCCCTGGTCCTATAGATGGACCCCGGATGCTACACGACCAGGGTTCTAGGGAAGGTCGTGAAACTTTATCCGCCGAGTCTCCTCAAATCGATGGAAATCGTTTCACCCAGATTGCGGGCTATTTTTGGAAATCTCTCCGGGATTCAAAATAAGCGGGAATAGCGCCTCGGTGGAAGAAATTGAACTCGTTAAATCAAGGCGGGCGGGCCGGCCGGAAGGGGACTCCTTCTTCGCAATCGATCGTCGTCGTCATTCTCGACGAGCTGTCTGCGATATATCAAAGCTGCTTATTTAGATATACATCGCCCCCGAGGAGCGCCGGAGTGAGTGTAACTGGTGCCGGTGGAGTTGAAGAGAGAAACTTCCCGGAAGCGACTGAACTATGGCGGAGCTTTAGATTGCATCGGAACTCCGGATTCGCTCGCTCAAATAACATGCAAATGCTTTCTTTCCCTCCACCGTGTCTTTATTTTCCCCACGAGTCCCAATGTCTACCATTCTCGAGCTGTCTCCGGAGAAAGAACCCCCTCGACCTAGCCGCCGCCGCTCCAGACACGTCTCGCTCCAAGGATTCGGGAACTCCGAGGCTGGGGATGCGTTTGAGCATCGAAGTCTCTCAGCCTTTTAGTGCGATATGTTTCGCCGGGGAGCGGAGTCTCCTTGAGAAAAATGAGTGACGGAGTGAAGGAATATTTTTGCAGTTTTTATTTCTATCTGGCCTACTACTCTTCTCCGAACCCAATCCAGATTCATTATGTTCCAGGATTGACGATTCCTCGACTAGCGATCGCTCTGATGAACCGATGCTGACTTGCAGGGTAATTGAATGAGGGCAAATGGATAAATGAACCGAGGATCGCCATGGTCAGCCTCCCCCGCCAGAGCGGGAAGTAATAGAGAGTTTCGGAAACTTATCCTCGTCTCGGAGGCTCGACTTGTTATCGGTCCTAGTATCCTCTGCTCGAAAACAAGACGAACTTCCTCCCTTCAAGGGAGGGATAGAAACGATTTCCCATTTATTGGCATGAGTCTCCAGAGTTCCGGGATATTCCTGATTTCCTGCGAAAAATTCGATAGGGGTCCTCTTATGGACGCAGCACAAGTTTTTTGCCATCGTGACGTCATCGTCGTAACGGTTTTCTCCCAAGGCTCTTTTCCCGGAGGCAGCTCCAAAGCCGATTGCTTCTCTTGCCTCCACCAACTGATTAGCCTCCCCCAATCTGCTTCGACCTCGTTCAATATCGCTTCCAGGTGCGGTACTTATGACTCAAGCCTCAGAGCAAATCATACGCGTCGATGAATTACCGCGCGATGCGTTTCTCCCTCGGTGAGCGCACGGACTCATGTGGATAATCAGGCTGTGGAACGGGCAAAGCTTCGACACCGTCCGACTTCCTCCGAGATTGGTGGGAGCTTGAGGACCTAGGGATATTATTGTGGGAGCTATCTGACCGCCCGATCGTAGAAGTCTCCATTCGGTAATGTTTTCGATTGGGGAGTGAATAATGATTTTTTGCCCTTCATTATTTTTTCTTCCCCAATGATAATATTCTCTCGGAGACGTTCGGTAATGAAAAGACAGTCGGCTGCAATTCAGAGGTTCTCTCGAGAGGGGTAATGAGAGCTCTTGGAAAAAACCCTTCCCTACAGCCCGAGGGAAGCTGGTTGATTCTCGACTAAGCGATTCGAACACCGCTCCTGATCAGTCATACGATTGACTGAATCGAGCTCGGAGCCTTCTTCCCGTATTCAGAGAAGTATTGGGGGAAGTAAAACAGCCAATTAGAAACCGGAGATGGTTTCCTTGGAAGATCGATATCTCAGCAAGTCTCGGGCTGTGAAGACCACGATTGCACAGGATCAAATGATGGAACCTTATCAGCGGCGACAAGAACCCCCAAGTTGACTTCCGCAACGAGACTATAAGTGCAGGAAACGCGATCACGCATCATCAATCGTGGTTCATCGAAATCGGAGCGGCTGAGTGGTCGATTCGGACGAAGTTGAGTGCTTGGAAAATTCGGAAGGCGAATCCTGAGTGGTTTGGCTCAATTCCAGCGGACCGAAAGTGGTCCGATCCGGGTCCGAAAGTGGTGATCGATTGCTGATGGGATCCATCGTCTGTCGAGTCCACGAGAGACCGAAGTCGTAAATGAACTTTCCGGGGAGTGAATAATCGGACGAAGGAATCTCTCTAGTCTCACATCGTCAGACAAAGGCCACGACCGGGGACGGCGAAGATCGCCGCTTCGGGCAGCAGCGCCTGGCCGAGCTCATGAATATCAAAGGTCGATTCCAGGTCCCGGGGAAAATCGATCAAAGAAATCGCCGGAGCTCCAGCATGAACGTTTTACTGAACCCTTTCCTTCAGGAATTCTCCATGTGTTCTCGATACGGATGTACGAAGGAAGCCTTCGAAAGGCCTCTTCCTTGCACGAACTTCCCACCGACGGACTCAGCCACGATCGCGACTCTTCATTGTTTGAAACATACATAGTCTATAACCTTGCGAATGATTTGTATCGCAAAAGAAGGAGTCTTTGATGTTAGACGACTATTCGAAATTTCTATGGGAGTCCGAATTCGGCCTCCCCGTGCATTGCGCGATCAGGCTCTTGCCTGAGGCGAGTCTCACTCAGCAGGGAGGAATGAATTCCGAGTAATGAGAGTCCTCGGAAGGCTCGGGGTGAATGGGGAATCTGGGGCAAATCCAGAACTCGATCCAGATCACAATAGGTATTGGAGTCGTCTGGCATGAGTTCGCCTTTGAAGAGATCCTGCAATCGAAGCGAGTGCCGCCCCCTAGTCGCGACGAGCCCTCTTGCCCACCTGTCCGAGGGTTTGGGGTGAGTTCCGAAAATGTCGTCGAACTAAAGGATGTAGCTGTCATACAGAGCGAGTGACAGCTTTGAATGGTTGGAGAGCCTTGCTTCCAGGCGGGTTCGGAGCTGGACTTTGCGCTGATGGAAGGGAAGAAGATCAAAGACGGATTATTTAGGAGAAAATTACACGGGCGGCTCGTATAACAAGAGCCCGGCAGCGGGGCAGGACTCTAGGCGAAAGGGCTAGCGAGGGAGCGAGGGCTCGGTCGAGGGGCGAAAGTTTTGCCTGAAATTCGTCGTAAATTAACGACCGTCTCTACGGACGCGTCCCTTATAATAGAGTTGCGTTGTTAGTGAACCACCGAGCTGACGTCATATTGTGGCTCGATGCGAGAGTCTCAACTCGTGGGAATGCCTCAACCCGCGGCAGAGAGCTTCTACGCAGTGAGTTGGCTTCGTGCAGTTTGCGTTTGGCGGCGATCTCGTCCTGAGTTGAGCGAAAATGCGTCTCTTCCCGGCCTCCTCGGCCCTTACAATGACACCTTCCGAGGACTACGGCTATCAGACCCCTATTCACCGTCTTCCTTGAGCTTCGCGACGGAGCCGGAGGAATTCGCGGGCAGCTAAGGGCCCTTCCGTGAGATACCAAAGGCCCTCGGTGGCCCCGATCGCCTGAAACCTAATCCGGAATAACGCTGGACAGTTGGGGCAAGATGCATTCCGTCAAAATCAAAGGGAAGTCACAGTGCGACAGGAAGCGGAATTTATTCCAGTTCGTCGACAATCGGGTCGGGAGCTGCCCACCAGAGGAGTTCTGAGAGCCTCTCTGCCAAGCGTTCCTTCGGAGAGGGCCGACCACGGAGATGCTGCCAGACGACGGCGACGGCAATGAGAGAGTGTGACCAGCATAAACGACTCCGGAAATGAGTTTTCCCGGGAATGAATCGAAGCCACGAGCGAAAAACCGCCGATCGACGTTCATTGATTCGTTTTTCGCTCAAGTCGAGGCTGTGCATGACTATGGAAGCGAAGACGAGCGCGAGGATCATCTTCATCACAACAATGACGACAATAGCGCTTTTGTCGAAACACTCGAGTGATTTCGAGCGACTACTCGATATCAGTCCCGGGGGAGGTTTCTATGAATCTCGTAGGTCGAGAGGACTAGCAGAATACATCCGAATGACTTCTCATCAATGTGCGCATCATTCTCCATTAGCGTTGAGCAGAAACAAAATCGAAGTGAGGCATAGAATCACCATGTGAGAACCAACATCACGACCCTCGCGATTCAGGAATCCTCTCCGATCAGACGATTCCCGAGTCCAGACTTGACCTTGAACGAGGGATCGAGCCCGAGGAAAGTCAGAATCTCTATTATCGATAGATCCCGACGACGAATAATTACGGCTTGCGAAATCGAGTGCCGCAGGTCTCTTAGCACATCATGTTCCTCGCTCGCACAACGCATTCGTCTCCGAAAGCTCCTATTCGTCCAGGATTTCGAGCTTCCGTGACGCCTCTCTTGACGTGACCAACATCTTCTACACGAGCCGCTCGAGGGTTCTGTCGCGTTGAAGCAAAAACCTACGCAGGAGGCTTGCCACGAGCTTGAAGGAAATAGTTCGGAGCCAGAACATAATCAAGCATTCCTTGCCCGCAAGGGTTTCCGTTGGCTGATTCTGCCGACGTCGTCGAACTCTGATGAAACTTTTACGATAATGAAATAAGAGGGGATCCGAGTCGCGCTAATGCTCGAAGGTACGCTGATACCTCCGCAAAGTATGCGTCCTGCTCTTATGCTCATACGGTTGCGATGAAATGGCCATATCATGGTCGGACGCTGCATTCGATGTGCAAGATCGCGCGTTTCCTAACGCCGCGCCGGCACTAATTGCAATGCCTCATTCTCATTGGATTCTACACGGGAAATGCACAACAATCCTATCAGCTGTTCCAGCTTATGATGTCTCCTAAATCGTGAATCATGCGGGGGAATCAGAGATCGAGTCTGGCTCCGGTCTCAACCCGACTCACTCAGCCTCGACTCATTGTCAGAGTGTACAACAATGGATTCGATAACTGTAATACGCAACGATCCAGTTCGAGCCTTTCTTCCGCAGATTTCCAGCTTCAAACGCCAAGATGGATCATCGGAGTGCCGTAGGGAGCACACGATCAAAAAAAGGGGTCAGACGATTTACGAGGGGTCGGACGTTGATGAATATCAGGGCAGGCGCCAACATCTGAACTTGAGGCTGACGTCCCAGTCCCGGTCTCAGCTTTCCCTCTACGCCGCCCCGATCGAGCGAGTCTATGCGTTGTGGAACGTCTGCAGCCATCGACGGAAGACCAAACATGCTCCGGAGGAACCACATTGCGCTAGGGGTGCGCGCCTCTGCACAGGATTGACGAGGAGAGCGCAGACGCCGCGAGCTCCTTCCTCAAATGAAAGCCATCCGGGCAAGCGGCATAGAGAAGATATGTCTACCAACGGGTGAAATATAAGATTCGACTGTTCTTCTTCCGGAATGAAAAGTTGCTCGCTGCACTCAACATTGAACAGCGGGTGATGGAGTCAGCTGCACAGCATAACGTGGATGTGGTGCTTAAAAAATTGCCGACTCCACTTTTGATGATGCGCTGCACTCGAAAGGCCCGCATTAACCAGGCTCTCGTCGATGATGGTCTCTGCGGAGCGGAGAATCATGAAAAGCAAGAGACCCTCAGACTGGATCTGCCTATAGCCCCGATCATGCGCTCTCTCGGCCCTTGATCATGGCGATAGGCGGTTGGAACTCCTACATCCTCCAGGGTCCCTTGGATGAAGGGAGGGTCCAGACGAGTCGCAACCTTCAAAAATGTCAAGAATTGCTCGAGCGGACGAGAGGAAGATCCTAGATTTCATTCGGTAGATATTGCGCTTAGTCTGAGCACAAATATACCGAGGGTATGGGGCGAACCATCCACAAAAGCAATAGTAAATAAATACAAAAAATAAACGAATCAGAGGAGACAGATCTGAATGGTCGGCTCGTCCGATAAGCGGAACAACAGGAGGCTTTCGGGAGCTGTAGCTGGTGCCTCGCCACCATCCTACGTCACGCATATAAGGAGCGGATAATCCGCTATTGCGTTAAGAGCTCGTCGCTCTCGGCTCCACGTGATGAGAGCAATGCCTGTCGCTCGCTCCGCATTGCTGTAATCCCAGGAATTGCGAGGCGATTTGCATGTAGCTCACATGGAGGAACAAGTCCTTCCAGCTTTTTAGCGCTAAGCGTCCTCTTCCGCGCAAACTCCACTTTTGCGGGAAATGAAGATCGTCCCCCGCCCCCCAACCCAACCCCTGTCCCCCGAAGTAACAGCTGCGTTGTTTCGCTTGTTTTCGGCATTGTTAGAGAGTGTTTGTCCACTCGTTACGTTCTTCTTGTCTGGGTGCAGACGGGGCGCCGCGCCGTTTGCCCCAAGCCGCAATCGCCATCAGCGGCGGAATTTTACTTCCGAGTCGCGTCCTGCAATGCGCTGCCTCGGGTTTCACCTGCTTCCCGACACGAACGCTGATGCCGTGGAGCTAGGCCCCGGAACGTTCGGAGGAAATAGAAAACTCCGAAAGCTCGGGAATCGTTGGGCCATCGCCTCTATCCACTGAGCTCGGCTGGAGGCCACCGAAGATCATACGGGAAGCCCCTGACAATTACTTTTCAATCAGACTACGGCTGCGGAGCCCCTATAAGAACGAATGGGATCACACACGCAATGAATCCTCCCCCAGCCGACACCGGGAGCTCGATAATCCTCTCGGTCCCGCATACGGGGAGATTGGAGTCGGACCATGCTGAGAATCGATCAACCCGGTAGCTAGACTCGGGAAAAGCTGCTGGATCGAAGAACAGTTTCAGAACTCTTTCCATCATGATGGAATGCCATGCCCAAAAAGCCTCGGAAGCTCCAATCCGGGTCCGCTCTGAACAAGGCGTGGTGACGCCCAGCTTTAGGCATTCAAAAAACTCGATTCGTCCCTCTGCCCTCCAGAGAGCCCGATGGATGTCGCAATGAGCTTTGAGTGCGGGCAATGAATTCCCACAGGAACATGAGCGGAAAAACTGCCGACTCCAGCAAAAGCGCTGATCGGCAGCTACCATCCAGAAACGCATGTCGCGCAGGGTTTCGCTCGCTGCTCAGTACGTCTCCGAAAGCTCCGCCATTCTGAACGTTCTCATTCGCAGCAGATGCTCTACACATGTCGCGTTTCATCTCCCTGTCCGTTTTTCCCCGAGCGATACGAGTTCATCTGGTACGTCGACGAAAAAAGTTTAATTCAAGCAAGTGAGCGCCTGGAGGAGCGGAACACTGCGTCGCCGCCGCGACGCTTCGCCCGGGGATAAAAACAAGTAAAATTTATTAGAATGAAAGCAAGTAGGCTCATCCCACGACGTCACGCTATGTTTTTTCGATTTGTGGTTCTGGATCATGGTCCCAATCAGGATCTGGCTTTTGAGGGAACTGGCTCTCAATGTTTTCGACTACGACGGATCCTCGAAATTCCTCCCTCATCCGTTCGCTCCCCGTTCCTCTCCGAGAGCGTTCGTGATTCCGAGACGCGACCACGTCCGACAGCTCATTCATGAAATCTCTGCATGTCCTGTGGGAACCTCGGCGGGACACACAACGATCCTTATCGCGGCCATTTCGCTATTGCTTCGATATTCCTTGCCATGATAACGACTCACCTGTCTCGGAGCACCACGACATCGCTTCGCCAGCGGACCTGCAAGATAGGTCATGTCCTTTGTTATCTTACCCCACACCGCTGTCGCCGGACGCCGTCACTGCGGTGCTGACCGAGTTTGCTCCGCTGAGCCCAAGGTCTCACAGTATATTCCCGGACACTAACACCGTCCGTGTAGTTCCTGGGGCGGATCTTTTCCAGCACGGGAGGCAATGGCGGAGAAAGTCAAAACTGCGGTCTTTATGGGCATCAGGCTCACTCCCATCAGAGATTCTTATCGGCAGACGTGGTGACAATGCAAGACATTCGTTTCAGCATGGACACCGACTTCCTTAGGTTCTCCGGGACAGAATCTTCCCTTGGGCTTCGAGATTCTTCGGTCTCCGTGGAGCAATGCACATCAGAGTATCAATAACCGAGCGTTGATTCTCGGACACGGAGCCCGGAAGGGGAAGAAGTGAATTCGAGCCATTGAGTACTCGCAGCAATCATTTATCGATCACGAGAATATCTGTCCCTGAGGCGAGATCGACGCGCCTGCTGGACCACGCGGTACGGCCAGTGGAGTTCCAGGGATCCCAGAATCTGTTGCGCTCTCGCTGGGGGAAAATACACGGAGCACCTGGCCGCTCTTCGAGAATCGACTTGAGCGCTTCATTAGGCTCCATCGCCCCGGAAGGGGAGGGAATCGTGGTCTAATTTTAATGGTGGAGAG